CATTGACATCCCCAGTGACACCAATATAGTGATCAGTGCTAATAAAAAGTACTGATACTGTACTAATGGCACTGGGCAGGAAAGGGTTAACATGTGGAGCAATCAAAGAGTTTAACTGTGTGCTGTTTTACTGTGTGCTGTGTGTGTGCTCTACACTGTAAGCACACTGCTTTGTATGGCTCTGCTATGTAGAGCCATACAAAGCAGTGTGCAGGAGCTCACAGGGTAGAGATCTGTGTTGTTTACATACAGGTCTCTCCCCCGTTGGTAATACTCGCAGATCGCCGGGTGTTGGCAGGGAATCACCAGCCGGGACCTGGTGATTGACAGCCGAGGACATGAATGGCGGTGCGGGTAGGGCACGCGCCCCCTACCCCAAACTGCAAAACCAAGTATATATACGTGATTTTGTGCACCTGTGACACCCTGTAGCAGTATTTCTGTTATAGGATGGCATGGAAGCGATTAACATGTGTTCGGTTTTAAAGGGGTGAGGTGGCAACCCTATTTACTTGAACATGTAGTGTTCAGCAGGCTTGCTGCCCGCCAATTGCAACATGTCAGGTCAACTTTGTCGTGGGTGGGTATTGCAGCTTAAGGGAGGGGGGGTTGGCAGGTTGCCACAACGTGGCTCAACCGTGCATATTTGCCGCCTCCTTACAACCGCAAGTCTAAACAAAGCCTAAATGAGCCGCTAAGCCTCTTGTACCAAAAACTATACCCTCACCTTTTTTTCCCCACTTCATCTCTAGTCAGCTGATAGCAGGGTTGCCAACTATCAGTGAATTTATGGACAGTTTGTAAAAATCACTGTTTTATGTAGCACTACCCCCCCAGGGGTCGTTAAGTAATTCTTGGGTTCCCTGTCTGGCCTGACTCCACTCTGAAAACCCAACCCCTGCTGACACCATCTTAAACCTCCAGTCAAAGAGACCCTCAGACTGCAACCACAAATTAGACTCACAGACCACTTAGAGTGAACTGATATCTTAGTTGTATTGAGATTAAATGTAAGCACAGTAAAACAACAGAAAAGTTTCTGTATAAAATAATAGCTATCACTTGGAGTAATTTCAAGCAAAAAAATCAAACACAAATCTCAAATAGTTATGGACGTCCTGCAATTGAGAATTTAGCCAGTAACCCCAGTCCTGAGATGTCTTTCCCCAGTGAACAAAAAAAAAATAACAAGCAGAGCAGCTGGCTCACTTTGGGCTCTCAGAAGCAGGTGATAGGATTCAATTCTGAGCTTAAGAAAAAAACTCTTGAATAAAGTAGGTCACTGTCCCTTTAAACTGCAGTATAAGATCTTCTACGCGCTCGATGGGGCCCGAGTTGGTGCACTTTAAGAATTCAAATCCCTCTGGTAGCAAATGTAGAAGTTCCTTAATATGGTGTGACTAGAAAGGAAAGGAGCTGCCCCTTTAAGTGGTAGGTAGCCTAGATGGTACCCCTTTAACACAGACAGGGTACGATGTAAATTTTGGCAGAGATTAAAGAATGAGCAGAAGCCCTTTCTGTTAATTCCTCTTGCGACCCCTGTGGTAAACTGAAGCAATGTAGGAACTTTTTGGTGAGTGTGGGCCAACTGCAATGGAAGCAATTATGTGGCTTAACCTGTGGAGGGCAAGACACGGCAGTGGGCTCCTGTGAATGGATTATGCTGAAAGTGTAGTAACCAGTAGGCCGGGTGAACTAGGCCTTAACATGTGAACGGTGTCAGTTAAAACAGTAGTAAACTGCCGGAGTCACTTTTTACAGCACACAGCTCTAAAGGAATGGCATGGGCATGCCGTTCCTTCAGAGTGCATGCACCACTGCTGTACATAGGTAAATATCTCCTAAACAGTGCACGTTTGGGGGATATTTACAGTACCTACAGAAAAGCCTTATTATAGGCTTAACTGTAGGTACAAGTACTGACTCTACTACCTCTTTAAAGCAGCCCAAGAGTCCCAGGATGGAGTCCGGCTTCCACGGATGGTGTGGAATGCCATCACCGCAGTCCCGGCATGGGAATGCTGACCGGAAGTGTGGGGAACCAGCTTGGAGCGCATCTGTAGGTGCAAGTGATGTCACCGGAGGAACAGTGCTGTGAAGGCAGGCTACATGCTTGGAGCTCTCCGGCTCCTTCTACAGGCCTCGTTCCTTCACTTTGGCTAATACTAAACTCAGTGGCGCCACCCTTGTTCTCCTATTTGCAACTGGGCTGCAGGACACTGCCATCTTGTGTCCATTTAACATCCTGTAATTCAGTATTTCTGCAGGGTGTTATATTTACATTTACAACTCTCTGGAAATATCAGGGGCTGACAATTTGTCATGCTGTGTTGACCTTTTAAAGCAGGGGTGGCGAACAAGTTAGACACAAAGAGCCAAAATTTTAAAGTCAGAGAGCCACACCACGCAGTGACCTGCCAAAACAGACAAACACTCACACAAAACACATAATTAAAACCATATTATTCACCATAACACTTTCTTCCCCTTACAAAACAACAATGTGTTCATTTCAAGGTAAGTGTCCACCCTCAACACACATATCAAATGCAACTTAGCCAGAGTTAACACATCAACTACCCTGGAGGTTGCTGTGGCACCTGTCTCTCTCTCTCTCCCTTCTCTCTCTCACTCTAAGACACAGTACAGGAGATGACCAGAGACTGCGGACAGCACAGGGATGACCAGAGACTGCGGACAGCACAGGGATGACCAGAGACTGTGGACAGCACAGGGATGACCAGAGACTGTGGACAGCACAGGGATGACCAGAGACTGCGGACAGCACAGGGATGACCAGAGACTGAGGACAGCACAGGGATGACCAGAGACTGCGGACAGTACAGATGACTGCTGACCTTTGGGGAGGTGGGGAGGTGGGCAGTGGGTACCTGAATTTGACAGGTACCCGCTCTTACTTCCGCAGAGTTTTTGTTATATCTTACCTGTTCCTCGATCCAACCGCGCGCTGTCTTCCTGGCTTCTGTATTGGCGCTCGGCATGACAGCCGGGTGCCCAGTGCGCATGAGCGAGAAGCACTTGCGCTTTGTGATTGGTCCGGCGGCTTCTGGGATCTGTCATGTGTCCCAGGTACCGCCTTACCATTCACAAAAAGCACCGCTTCTTGCGCATGCGCACTTGGCACCCAGCTGTCATGCCCAGTGCCCACACTACAGAAGCCGGAAGACAGCGCGCCGCTGGATAGAGGAACAGGTAAAAATAAGAGAAACATGAAACTTGGCAAAGAGCCACAGTATACAAAATATGATAAGAGGCAAAGAGCCGCATTCATTTTGGCCGGGAGCTGCACGCGGCTCGAGAGCCGCGTGTTTGCCACCCCTGTTTTAAAGGACAAGTTCATCTTTGGAACTAAATTTTGAAGGTAAAAAAATGTGCATTTATTATTTTTGGTTGCAGGATCCTGTAAAGCATTGCACCAGCAATCAGGAAATCACGAGTGCCATGCAGGTCTCCTGCAGACCTGTCAGTATATCTGCTTGCTGTATGGGATGTACACAGTGGCTAAATGGTTAGCACTTCTGCCTGGCAGTACTAGCATTGTTGGTTTGAATCCCAACCATGGCACCACCTGCCTGGAGTTCTTCTTCTTGAGAACGCCCGATGGGAGGGGCGAAATGCGTTGACGCATTTCCAGTCTATACCCCTGACGTCACTTCCGGTGAGTGGAACACACGCTGAGCGGTGCGTTCCAGTGGCCATCTTTTGGGATCTGTGTATGGGTTTCTCTGTGGATCTTCTGCTGTATCCTGGAGCTGTGATGTGAGATTCCTGAGGAGGCTGTAAATTACTCATTGTCCATCTGGAAGAGGTTTTTATAATAAATATGCCTTTTGAAAGTGGCTGAAATGTGAGTAGCCTTAATCTTTGATTTTTAATAATATTATCAATTAGCAATATCACACTATTTGAGATTTTTTTTCCCCTGGTTGAATGGTGGAGGGAGCCTATTCTGATGGTGAGAAGTCCTATAGAGTGGATACGAAAGAGGGCTTAGGATCCCTTTAAATCCCTAAAAGGCGTCTCATTTACCAAAAATCTGGTGAGTGTAATTGATGTTGGTTTGCACGGGTGGAAGGTGGAAGTTTCTTTGCATCTGAAGATTTTTGGATTTCTTATCTTTACACGGATATTTTTTATATATCTCACGAACTTTTGGTGTTTACTATTATGATGGATTTTCACTATTAATATGATTTATGATATATTAGTACGCACTTTATATATTGATTGTATTTAGAGGTCTATGTTTGCGCTGTTTATTTATATCAGTTATCAGGACTTGTAGTTCATTCACAGAACACTGTGAATGAATGACATGGCTGTACCTCTGTCACAGGGGGGTGGGTGCAGCGGCTGCAGCATTGGGAACAAGGTAAACCCCTAAAACCAGGTGGAACATATTCCCAAAGGTGAACTTATCCTTTGAGCGTAAACCAGGCAGATGGCTTGTTATGGGTATTGTCAGTGTTTCCATTTTCTGTTTAAATATTGTCTTAGTTTTTATTAGGAGTCCTGTCATTTTTCAGGTTGTCAGTAAAATATGTGCTCCGTCAGTAAATTTTTGAATGTGCCGTCAGTAAAAAATGCTGCGGGAGGTTGGCAACACTGGCTGATAGTGATGACATCTTGTAAAATCATCCGTAAGGTCATTTTGTAAAGCGCTGAGCAAACTGTTGGTGCTTTATAAATCCTGCATAATAATAATACATCATTTTACTGCACAGGAGGTCAGTGAGAATTCTGTATAAAATATATGTAGCATGAAATGGTCCTTGCTGCACAATTTAATCACATGCTAAAATGAACTGCAATTTGATTCTACTGTGATAGTAATCCGTTTGCACAACACAGACAGCACATTCCCCCCTGAACTGATCAGTCAGAGGAAAGGAAGGCGGAACTAATCTCTCGCGGCTTGTCGGGAGAAAGGGGTTTCGGGTTGCACCGCCGCTGTTTAGGTCACGTGTGTAGAAAGCAGCATGGCGGAGGAGAAGCAGGAATTACAATCCAGTGCCGGTAAAAAGAGACCGAGAGAGAGCAAGCCTGGTGAGTGGGTGAGGTGCAGGGCCCCTGTCCGGATAACTCGCTGTTATTTGTCTTCACTGACCGGGGAAGCGGCCATCCTTTACGTGCAGCATATCCCCGAGCATGCCATTGAGAGCCCTTCCTGTACAGTGCACCCGCATGGAGGGAAGATCCTGTCATGGCACCGTGCACATTACAATCTGGATGTTATGGAAGTGTGGAAAAAGTGCTCCATCCTGTCCATTATATCCTAACTCCAGGCTGAGACTTTAAAAAGTTAATTTGGACCAAATGAACTATTTACTTCACTAAGAGATGTGCCTGCAGAGAGCCCTGTAAAAACTGTATGTACAGGCTGTACTGGGCGTCATGACTTACCTACAGGTAAGTGTCTATAATAAAGCTTACCTGTAGGTACAGCTAGGGGCAGACTGGCAACTCATGGGGCCCCTGGGCAATAGGGGATCATGGGGCCCCTGTGTAATTGCCCAAACTCAAAAAAGACTATGAAAAAGGTACCAGGGGCATCTCATGGGGCCCCCTACTGACCTCGGGCAGTGCCTGAGTTTCCAAATGGTCAGTCCGCCTCTGGGTACAGCGAATATCTCCTAAACATGCACTGTTGAGGAGATATTCATGTTTATAGCAGCCGGTGACGTCACTGGTGGATGCCCTCTGAATGGATGGCCCGCTGTAGTATGCTGTCCATTGTACCGCAACACCGTGTGCATGGACAGGAGTGATGTCATCACACAGCAGACATTCAAACAGGTGGAGAGTGCAAACTCAGAAGAAAGATCAAATGAAGGTGGAAGTGCTGACAGTGTGCCCCTGGGGGGCTTTGTTTGAGCCCTGGTTCACACTGATGTGGTGCAGTAGTCACTGCGTTTTCAGTGCGAATGCCGCACTGCATCAGAATCGCACCCCATTCATGCGAGCCGTTGTGGGTGTGTATGTTAACAACCCCCCCGAAAGCAGTCTGCAAAATATGGTGCGATGTTCAGAATTGGATCGCATAGGTGTGAATAGCCATGTGATCCGATTCTAGTGCAGATCAAAAAAGGGTCCTGCTTGTTTTTGGTGTGGTGTGATTAGAGCCATACAAAATGAATGGCTCCAATTGCACCGCACACAAATCGCATGTAATCTGTACAGGAATGCGGTGCAGTTCCTGTGCGAATCACATGCGATATACCGCACGTGTGAACCCAGGCTCAAGGTAAGTCTGTCATAATGTGCTCGTATGTGGTACATACTATGATTTACTAAAGGCAAATAGTCTGTGCGCTACAAGTGCAGTTGCTCTAGATCTGAGGGGAAGCTCTGCTGATTTCTATCCAATCACGTGCAAGCAAAAATGCTGTTTTTTAAATTTGCCTTGCTTGTGATTGGGTATTTTGCAAAGTGAAGCTTTACCTCATTTACTAAGCTCTGGAGCAACTGCAGTTGCAGTGCACAGTATATCTGCCTTTAGTAAATTAACACTATGCCTTAACCTCTTCCTGTCCGCCCATTCTACATAGATGGTGGACGGGAATCAGCACCGATGCAGGCTAACATTCCTTTACGTCAGCTGCATCGATGGCTCATGCACGGCTCACAGATAAATACATCAGTGGTTCATAAAGTGAACTTGATGTAGAGTTATTCACCCTGAGGTCATCACAGAGGACAAGGGGGCATTCTTTACATCTGGAGTAAAAGAGATTTAATCTCCAAATATGGAATGGTTTCTTCACAGTAAGAGCTGTGAAAATATGGAATAGACTCCCTCAACAGTTGATTCTGGCCAGCTCAGTGGATTGCTTTAAAAAAGGCCTGGATTGTTTCTTAGATACACATAAAATAACTGGATACTAACATTTATAGGTAAAGTTGATCCAAGGAATATCCGATTGCCTCACGGGGGGATCAGGAAGGAATTTTTTTTTCCCTGCAGGAGCAAATTGGATCATGCTTTGCTGGGTTTTGTGCCTTCCTCTGGATCAACTGTGGGTTTGGGATTATAACTTTTTTTTTTTTTTTTTTAATGGTTGAACTGGATGGACTTTTGTCTTTTTTTTCAGCCAGAATAACTAACTATGTAAGTACAAGAGCACTTACCAACGCCATTGCAATTCATCAAGAACTACAAGCTGTCTGCCACTATGGCTGACAGTACTTGTAGTCCATTCATTCATAGAACTCTGTGAATGAATGAAGCATCTGTGTGGGTGGAGCCGTGCATGGCCGTGCTGTATTTGAATTGTGACAGTGGGTGCAGGGAGAAGATCTCCTATCCACTGTCACAATGGGTGATCAGGTCAGGGTTCCAGTAGGTGCTTTATTAACATGGGTGAATATGGGTGTAACTGGCAATTAAACAACAATGAAAAATTTCCAGCTCACTTAATTACGCTGTCTTGACAGTCCACATTAAAACCAGGGGTTTAGTTACACACATTTGCAAATATATGCGTAACCTGCGGAGCCTCTTCACAGCATGCTAGTGTACTGCAGTTCTAACTCTATACATTTTGAGAGCCTCCAAATTTGGAGCATATATATAATAGATTAAGGACAGGTATGCCTGGAGCCCTCCTTAAAGGTATAGGGGCGCACTGGATACCCAGCAATAGCACAATAGAAGCAGAGTTTTTACACTCACAATTAATATCTGTTTTCTAATCACAGGAAGAGTGCTAGCCCAGCGCACCACTTTACATGCACAAATGAAAAATCAGGATGGCTGCACTTCCTTGTTCTTCAGAGCAACACTTTATTTGTTCAAAAACAGTCTATAAAAGTATCTTAATGCTCAATAAGACAAAAGTTCTTCCAGTGTGAAATGTGCGTTACCTGTCTGTCTCCCCACGTGTACTTTTGTACCATTGAGATGCTTTTATGGACTGTATGAACAAATAAAGTGTTGTTCTGAAGAAAAGGGAGTGCAGCCATCTGGATTTTTCATTTTGGCATGTGGGTGTAACATGTTACTAAAAGTGAACTTATCCTTTAAGGCCCCTTGCACAATGGTGCCATTTGGTTGCAGTGTGCCCAAGAGGGAAAGGTACAGCGTCCAGCCCCACTGCAGCAGCCAGTCAAAGTCTGGCAGGCTGCGGCTGGACAGGGTAGTATGGGGTGGATGTTTTATCGAGTGCTACTGGCATTTAGGGTCCTGACCAGTAGGGAAATTGGTCCCAGAATGCAGGTCTTTTGCATTCTGGAACCTGGTTCCTGACTGGACAGGGCTGTAAACGCTGTCAACGCTTAGCACAATGTACAGCCTTGGACTGTGATGGGCTGCCTTCAGCAGAGCTGGAAGCTACACCTGTCATTCATGGCACACTGCAGCCAAACAGCCCACTGTGCAAGAGGCCCGAAGTTTGTTTACTTTTACATAAGTGGATCTGTACATTGCACTAGCAGCTCTGGACCCTGTAAACATAATGGTTGCAAGGATGATGAGTAGTCATCGGTCAGTGCGGCCTCATGACTGCACTGACCAATGTTAATTTCTTGCTGCTTCTGTGAAGCTGTTCCCGAAGAATGCAGCTCAGAAGAGATCCTCATTGGTCAGTATGCTCATATGGTCCCACTGTTCAATGACTGCTTGCTATTGTTAGCATTATGATACTTGCAGGCTCTGGAGCTGATAGTGTAGTGTATGCCGTATGGATTATTTTCTTTAAAAGAAACTTACCCTTTAATGTGTTTAAAAGTTTAATCATGCCCTTACTTTCATTTCTTTGTTTCAACAGGTATGGTTGTCTTTTCTGTTTTTATTTTACACTGATAGTTCACTTCAAACACTGGTTCTAATTTTCACAGGTTCCACATAAAGCTTTTTCACTTGGAAGTGATCCTTTCCATTCCCCAAGTATATAAACGTGGCAGTACCTTTATAATATACTCTGTTGGCTGATTTAATGCACTCTTTCTTTTCCCACAATGCAAAGCCTAAGGGCACTTTCATGCTGATCAGATGTGATTTTCCCTGCACTGCGGGTTTTGTGTGGATTACTTGTGCTTTGCCATAGACTTTTATTGCATGGGGCAGTTGTGGTTCATTTTATGAAAGTGCACCAAAAACCCTGCATGCAGGACTTCTCAAGTGCACCTTAAAAAGACAAGTTCACCCTTTTAAAAACAGTGCACTTAGCTTACAGTTTTTCCTTTACAAGGGTATAAATTAAATCCTGGGACATATCCCAGGATTTATATCCAATAAAAACCTGCTTTAAAATTCTGAATCATTGCATACATTTGAACATAATGGTCAGTTGCTCTATAAGTATGGTTCAGTGAGTTTGATAATAATGTATTTCTTGGCTTTATACAGCTATAGATGACTCTGAACTTCTCACAGTCCCAGATGGCTGGAAGGAAGAACCTTTCACTAGAGATCATAATCCTAAAGGATTGCTGGAGGAGAGCAGTTTTGCCACGTTGTTTCCCAAATATAGAGAGGCTTATCTGAAGGAGTGCTGGCCTTTAGTGCAGAAAGCACTAGGGGAAGGTGTAAGTATCTTGGTCTTTATTTACCAGTCATAATAATTTGTAGATAAGGACTGTTGTGTTTGGCAGTAAATATGTAGAATTCCAGCAACTCATCTAAATACACAGGGTACAGTTTATGTGCATTGCCAATGTAAGGGTAACGCTGTTCAAATACTGTTGTGTTTCATACATCCCTGTTGCAGTACTTTCCTAATTATACTTCCAGGACAGCACGAGAGAGGTTCCATCTATCTAAAACAGGAAACACATTATGTACTATCAAATAAAAAGAGAGTAGTCACCTAGTGCCCTCAATATTTGTGTTTCTTACGGCCTAGCAGGAACATCAGAATGGTTTATTTTTCCCTCAGGCCTTCGTGCTAGTTGCTGGGGCCTCCTAGTATATGCTCTCCCATGATTCCATGAACCGTGAACTTGGAGGGGTTGCATATCTGGGGTTTTTGTAAGTATCCTAGTTGTGGGACCTTCTCACCCCGTCACCTTCTCGGTTTTCTTCAAGGTTCCTTCTCCACCGGAAGAGAAATAACTATCTCCGTAGTGCTGAGGCTCTAATGGAGCCCTCCCTTACATTTGGTCAGGTTCCAAGTCCTCAGTGGCTGGCTGAGCCCCTGACATTTCATCGTTACCCACTTGCTTATTAGATGATCAATTAGCATAGTCACATAGTCAGATTTACTGAATTTTTCTGCCTCATGTAAGCTACTTTACACATCTGCCATTGATCCCAGTGAATGAAAATATTTGATTGACATTAGGTAGAGATATTCGAGTCTTGATTAAAATATAGCCCTCCATTTGCAGTCTGTTTTCTGCCGTGTAGGGGATTTCTGGTAGGTGATGTAAAGATGCATTTTCTGAGGTTATATCAACATTATTTAAAAATCCATTTATTGGACTAAATGAAGTTTTATTCTAATTTGCTAACTTTGAGAGAAGCTCACATTCTTTAGAAGATGATTGTTGTGGACATGACCAATTTTAAATATTGGTCATTGTTAGAATATTTACTGACTGAATTGTTCACTGCAGATTATAAGCACTTAAGTTAAAAAAAAAATAAATGCCTTGTTTACATGTAAAACCCTCTCCTCAGAAGGAGGTTTTCATGCGTGTATCAGTACAAAGAGTCTACCTGTGTGCTTATATTGCAAAGTCTTTTCTTCATTCTCTGCTTCAGCCCTGCCTGTGTCATCAGCACTACCTGTCCGTTTGGGATAAGAAGTAGAAAATTCAAAAGTCATTGTGCTACCACACATGACCATCATCTCTGTGAGCCTGGAGCCAGGGGACATAATGGAGATATAAAGACAGCAATGTTTTTGTTTGTTTTGTTTTTTTATGGTTGAATGTTCAATAACAGAGATTGGTAGGAAACACTTTTCGGGAACATCTCTGCTTTTTTTCTTTCCCATTGGAAAAAAAATAAAACTTCACTTTAGGGATCAATTAACTCCACTAAAAAATGGATTGATTGTTGTTGGTGTCCCCCATTGACACAAATTCCCCTCACTTTTTGTCTTGCTGACACAACAGGAAGCTCTGTCTGTATCTCTTCAAACTTAAGATGTATTTTGCAACAAATGAATATTGCAAACACCACATCATCAGACTTATATCGATAAAGGTCCCTGACAACTCAATGCTTCAAACTTTGAATTATTTTATGAAGGTAAAAATTCAGGTTGCTTTCTTCAGTATGTTTTCTTTACAAATATTGGATAATTTTCCTGCTACCCTGACCACTAAGATCCGAAAAAAATTTACAGAACATGCTTTTGCTGCAGAAGCCACAGCTACAGGTCTGGTGGTCAGGTACAGTACGTGATTAGAAACCTAGGTATTAGTCATGTTATAATTGCTGAAAGGGAGGATCAGAATTCAAATGGAGCCACTAGTCTGCATTGCTGTCTGTGAGCTTTATACTGCCTTTACCAGCTGATAAGTATGGACAATCTTCTACTAAATACTAATAATTCCCTTATCACAAAAGTATATCTAATTCCCAGTGTTTTTCTTTTTTGCAGTTTGTGAAAGCAGAATTAGATTTAATTGAAGGCAGTATAACAGTTACCACTACCAAAAAGACATTTGACCCTTATATTATTGTAAGAGCAAGGGATATGATAAAGCTGTTGGCCAGAAGTGTACCATTTGAGCAGGTGAGTATACTTTTAAGCTGTCATTTTCTGTGTTGATTTGTAGAAGCCTTATTGCAAAGCACCAGCGAAAAAGACTTTTCAGTAGGGCTTATGTAGAAGAAGCCACACATGCACAGTACCGTTTGGCCTGCTGGCTCACATGAGGAAAAGAGTGCCGATGGCCTCACCTTCAAGTCCACATTGCCTTCTCATTTCAGCTCTATGTGGGTGGGGGGGTAGTCTTTGGAGGGTGAGGGGGTGATTGGATTAAGTTATGCAAAATGCAGCGGACAGGGGGTGTTTACATACCTGACGTGCATGGATCGGCAGGCTACGCACTTAAGCAAAAAGGGAAGCACCTTAAATGTCCTACGAATGCAGTGCATGCAGTTATGGCAACCTTGTCAGCAAAAAAAAGGTGTTAAAACAGGCGGTGAGGAAGCGTCATTGCTTTCGCACTGCCTGTCTGTACTTACGTAAGCATGATCTGAACGCAGATTGGGCTTTAGAAGAAAGGGAAATTTAAATACACATCTAATGTACCCAAATAGTATTATCTTTTAGGCCTAGTTGACACGGGCTTCATCTTAAAAGAATAGTGTGAACACCAAACTTTTGGCAAACTTTTATGAAGCTTCCAGCAGCTTTCTAGAAATCTTTAACATATCGTTCAGCTCCAGTATGAGAATGTTAACCTCTTGCTGACTGTAATGTATATATGCAGTGACAAGAAAGTTGGGCTCTAATGCCCAGCCTCCACCCATATGTGTCCGCAGCAGCCTGAGATTGTGTGCTGAGAACATGCTCCCACTAAAGCCCACTTTAACTTCTTCCCTACCATGCTGTAGCTGTCTTTTGTCTTGTGTCTACTTCTGGGACTACGTCCATGGACGAAATTCCAGAACACGCCGCCAGTGGTGTGCTGCAGATGATCGTTGTGTCCTTTGGAAACAGCTGATCACAGCGGCCTTTTACCGTGTGATCAGCTGTGTCCAATGACACTTTACTTACGCTGTCACAACATGAGGAAAGTACTACCTATAACCTGCAATTGTCAGAGAAGTGATCGGCACTGTTCATCAGGGCATTGATGATCAGTGCCCACCTGTGTCGCCCACCACTGCCCCCCACCAGTGCTGCCCAGCAGTGCCCATCAGTGCTGCCTATCCATGCCACCTCATCAGTGCCCATCAGTGCTGCCTATCCGTGCCACCTCATCAGTGCTGCCTATCAGTGCAGCCTATCAGTGCTGCCTCATCAACGCACATCAGTGAAGGAGAAAAATTACCTGTTTGGAAAATTTTTTATAGAAACAAAGAAACTTTTTTTTTTTTTTTTTTAATTTTTTGCTCTGTTTTTGTTTATAGCGCAGAAAATAAAACGCCCAGTGGTGATTAAATACCACTAAAAGAAAGCTATATTTGTATGAAAAAAAGGATAGACAATGTCATATGGGTACAGTGTTGCATGACAGCGCAATTGTCTTTCAAAGTGCCACAGCGCTGAAAATTGGCCTGGCCAGCAAGGGGGTATAAGTTCCCGGTAGGCAAGTGGTTAAGGGCTGGTGGGGGGCACTGTTAAAAGGATAAACACAGAGCGCTGACTGTTCCTTTTAAAGCTGCTTGTAAGCTTTCAGGTTGTACTTACTGAAGTTTTCCAGCAGCTCGTTTAAAGATAATTCCACTTTGCGTGCAAAAATGAAAATGTTATCTCTCAGCACCCTCCCCAGTCGTCGCTGCAATTAATTTTTGTTATACGAGTTCACTTGCATGCCTGCCAATGTACCATTCAGTACACTTCTCACTCAGTACACAGCCCAGGAGGCTGTGTTTCAGAATAATGTCTGCAATAGCAAGCAGTGATTAGTCAGTGTGTTCACATGACTATGCTGACTAATCGCCACATGGTTACATGACCATGCTGCCTAGTCATCACATCCTATTGCAGGGGATGCCTAAAATGTACGTGTATCTTAATGAAAAAAAAAGGGAGAGATTTTGTATTACCTGCTGTACTGAACTGTCTTTTGGACTGTCTTTGTCTACATCTGTGCTATTGTTGATGCATTCCTACCTGTATAAAAATTTGGAACAATAAAGAATGTTGTTGAATATCACAAAAGCAGAAGAAGATATTTCCAAGGGCATTCCATATGTCAACAGAAAGCACTGAATTTTTTTGTACAGGTTTAGAAAGTTACAGCAGCTTCAGATTGAAATGGAAAGGTCATTTTTAATAGCATTAACCTCTTGCTGACTGCCCACCTGTAATGTATTGTGGACGGGCAGCAGCTACAAGCAAAGTGTCATACACGCAGTGCTCCCAAGCCGCAATCGGAATGAAAATCCCCCTGAAAGGGACCCTGTGATCATTATGCGATCTGAATCATAATAGCTCTGCTTCTCTTCCTGGTGAGCTGTGATTGGCCTACAGCTCTCACATGGTACATGGGGCCAATCACAGCACCCTGTACCATGTGTCCAATGTAGCCAGTCGCAGATCACTGTCATTTTGAACTGTCATGAACTTAACCCATTCATGACAGTTCAAAGCAAGCTTTGCATTGCAGGAGCAATAAACTTTATTGCTCCTGCAAAGCAAAGTGTAAAAAAAAAAAATCCCTGATCATCCCCCCCTCCCCCAGAGTAGTACGATGTTACTATGGTGACATCGTACTACTCTGATAGAAGTATTTTTAAAAAAATTGTTTAAATAAAATACTGTACTGAAAATTTTTTTAACTACTTGCCAACTGCCTGCCTGCAATGTGCGAGTGAGCGGCCGCTCTGGTCAAAGCGACATACCCTTGCGTCACTTTCTATTTAGGGGTGTGAACATGCCTGCGCCCCCCCCTGCCTCCCCCGTCGGTCCAGGGAGAGAAGAGAGAACATCACACTGAGTAAAAGCACTACATTTTACATACACACTTTAGATTAGCACATTTAACCCTTTGATCACTCCGTCACCCAGCCAGTGCCGTAAGTACAGTGTTAGTATATAGAATTTTTCACTGATCACTGTATTACTGCCACTAGCGAGATCAGATAGTGTCAGGGTCTGTAAGCACCTCTCCCAGCCAGGGTCAGCTAACGTTAGATTGTTTGCACACTATCGCACTCAAGCTATAGGTCGCTGATCATCGCCATTACTAGTATAGTGTTTGTACGGATCAAGATATTGATCACAAAGAGAACTATACCAGTGCCTCCCGTTTGCTGCCAGCACTAGCATTTAGCCTCTCCTCTGTTTTTCACGGAAGTTTTGCATCAATTGATTGTGGCCCAAAGCAATTTATATGCACAGTATATCACCGCTCACCCAAATTTAGCTCTTAGCAGACAATTCGCATGGAATTTAAAAATGTTTTGTGCCTAACTCTCAACGTGGGTATTACAAGAAAGAATGAATTGCGGTCATTTTGGTCCACAGACCCAATTCATCGTATGCCAATGTTGTCTGCTGTTACATATATGACCAACAAGAACCAGCAACATACTGCTAGATTGCTGGACTTTGGTTATACTGGGATGATGCCTGCAGCTACAGGCATCATTCTGGTATTGTTTTTTTCAGCCGGGGGTCAGCTTTCATCCAAGCAATCCTAGTGGCTAATTAGCTGCTGGATCGTTTTTACAAGCAGCGGGAGGGGACGACCAGAATGGCTCCAATCATCTCTATGGTCTAAGAAACTGGAGGCTATGAACATTTCATAATTTCCGTTTTGCTGGATATTAACAGCACCATTTTCAAGTTGGGAAAGCATCTGATCACACCGATCTTGGTGTGATCAGATGCTTTAAGGGCTAGAGGAGAGATCTAGCGTCTAATAGACCCCAGATTTCTCAGAAAAGAGTACCTGTCATTGCCTATTGCTATCACATTCCCTGTGAACAATAAAAGTGATTAAAAAAAAACAGGGACAGTGTAAGAATTAAACAAAAAAATAAAACAATCACCCCCGCCCTCCTTCCTGTACTTATGCGCAAAGGCAAGTCCCGTTTCGGTATGTAAATAGAGGCTGCACCATGTATGTGAGGTATCACTGCAAACCTCAGATCGAGGGCAGTAATTCTAGTGCTAGGCCTCCTGTGTATATATAAAGAGGTGACCTGTAAAGTCTTTTAAAGCGATGCCTGTCAATATTAAAAATGTACTTAATTTGCCACCGTTGCACGGGCGTGCGCAATTTTAAAGCATGTCATGTTTTGTATCTATTTACTCGGCATAACATCATCTTTTATATTGTATCAAACAATTGGGCTATATATTGTCTTTTGTGCATTAAGATTCCAAAAAAGTTTATTTTTTTTTCCCACAAAAAATTGGCATTTGAAAAATCCCCCCCCCCCCAACACTCCCTCCAAATTACCCTTTTTTGGAAAGTAGACTCTCCCAAGGTATTGGTTTCAAGTGGTTATATGAGTGGGTGATGTGGGACTTGTTGTGAGTATTTTTAAGATATTAGTGAGTATTTGTATGTTGCCACAAGTTTTTGGAAAATGAAATGTACAAATTCAAAAATGTATTTTTTCTTTTCTTTTTCAAAATCCTGTGACAAAAATTATATCTGCAAAAAAACTCACTCTGCCTGTTATCAAATTCCTTGGGGTGCTTTCCAAAAAGGTGTAATTTGGGGGGTGCTTGTACTATTCTGGCATTTTAGGTCCTCCGAAACTTTGATAGGTAGTGAGGAAGTGACATGAGGAAATATGCCCTTTGAAAGCCTGAAGGTGGTCATTGGATTTTGGGGGGCCTGTATGTGGCTAGGCTGCCAAAAAGTCTTTCACGTGTGGTATCCCCATACTTAGGAAAAGTAGCAGAATGTGTTTAGGGGTGTTATTCCACATATAGCCATGGCATACGTGAGCAATATATCGTTTAAGTGACAACTGTATGTAAAAAGGAAAAAAAAATTTGGTCATTTTCAAAAAATTTGTGGCAAAAAATAAAATCTTCCATAGACTCAACATGCCTCTTAGCAAATTCCTCGGGATGTCTACTTTCCTGGCATTTTAGCACCTCTAGAAATGTGATAGAAAGTAAAAACTTTTACACGAATCAATAAATATGCACGCCTTGGGATTTTTTTTATACCAAAAATGTATCAGAATACATTTTGGCCTAAATATAAAATTTTCAATTTTTTTGTTTATCACAAAAAATAAAAAACTCGGTGTGATCAAATATCACCAAAAGAAAGCTATTCGTGTGAAAAAAGGACATACATTTTGTTTGGGTACATGACCGCACAATTACCAGTTGAAATAGCACAGTGCTAAATAGCAAAAAATGGCTTGGTCAGGAAGGGGGGTAAATCTTCCGGAGGGAAATTGGTAAAGTGGTTCTGAAGGCAGGAGGTTTTTTTACCTTGATGCATTCTATGCATTTAGGTAAAAAACCTTCTGCATGCAGCTACCCCCATCAGACCCCCTGATACTTACCTGAAACCAATCTCAATCCAGTGACGTGCACAAAAGCAGGCTCTCTGAGCTCTCTCCCTCCTCAGACATAAGCTGGAGCCAATGGCTCCTGCTGCTATCACAGTCAGTGAAGAGGGGGTGGAGCCGTGCCGTGCTTTTTGGGTCCTATAGACACAGCCAGCTCTGGAATGAGCACACACAAGTGCCCCAATAGCAAGCGGATTGCTATCAGGTAACTCGGTAGGGAGGGGGCCAGGAGTGCTGGGGAAGGGACTCGAGAAAATGGATTGGGGCCATTGCCCCTATTATAAAAAAAATTAGCATTTGTTTTTTTTTTTTTTAAAGGTGAACTTGTCCTTTTAAAAGCTGCTTGGGACAGCACAAAGGCTAGGATGCTTACTTTGAAGCACTTGGCTGCTAGGGTTCAGGTCTTCAGGACTTTATTTACAAAAACATTAACTTTGTTTAATCACCTCCCGCCCGCCATATAGTACAATGACGGGCGCAAGGTGGTTCTCCCGTTCTGATAGGACGTCATATGACGTCCTTCCATTCTCACCGCGCATGCGCGGCTCAGGCAGCGCGGCGATCGCCGGAGTGCTGTGTCCCTTGGACACAGCGGATCACGGAAAGAGCCGAAGATGTCTGCTCGGTCATGTGATCAGCTGTGTCCAATAAACATCACGGAAATGCCGGTTATCGGCATTTCTCTTCTCTCGAGCTGTGACGCTGACAGCTCGAGAGATGAGGAGAGCCGGTAATTGGCTTTCCACGGAGGGGACATGTACACTGATCATCAGGCCACTGATGATCAGTGTGCCCTGATGATCAGTGTGGCCCCAGAAGTGCCACCTGTCAGTGTCCATCAGTGCCACGTCACTGCCACATATCAGTGCACATCAATGCCACATATCAGTGCCCATGTGAGCTACCTTTCAATGTCACCCATCAGTGCTATTCAGTGCCGCCTATCAGTGCCAGTCAGTGCCGCCTAACAGTGCCAGTCAGTACCGCCTTATCACCCATCAACGGAAAGAGCCAAATATGTCAGCTTGGTCATGTGATCAGCTGTGTCCAATCACAGCTGATCGCATGTAAATAGGGAAATACCGGTTATCGGCATTTCTCTCCTCTTGAGCTGTCACGCTGACAGCTCGAGAGAAGAGCCGGTAATTGGAATTACACAGAGAGGACATGTACACTGATCATCAGGGTACAGATGATCAGTGTAGCCCCAGCAGTGCCACCTGCCAGTGCCCATCAATGCCACATATCAGTGCCCATCTGAGCTGCCTTTCAGTGTCACCTGTCAGTGCTGCCTATCAGTGACATATGAGTGCTGCCTTTCAGTGCCCATCAGTGATGCCTGTCAATGCCCACAAGTGCCACCTATCAGTGCAGCCTATCAGTGCCCATCACTGCAGCCTCATTAGCACATATCAGTGAAGGAAAAAAATCACTTATTTACAAAATTTGATGACAAAAACTAAAACTTTTTTTTTTTTTTCACAATTTTCAGTTTTTGGTTTAACAAAAAAATAAACCCAGAGGTGATTGAATACCACCAAAAGAAAGCTCTAACTGTCTCAAAAAAATGATAAAAATGTCATATGGGTACAGTGTTGCATGACCGCCCAATTGTCATTCAAATTGTTACAGCACTGAAAGCTGAAAATTGGCCTGGGCAGGAAGGGGGTATAAGTGCCCTGTAGGCAAGTGGTTAAGAATATGCAGTGCCTGTTCATGCACCTATGTGTACAGGCAAATTGTAAACAATGGGCTGCATTTTAGATCTGTAAAAAAAAAAAACAAAACACTGTACTGAGCCTTTTTCATGCTGCAGTGTGCAAGAGGCCCAATACTTTAAAGACTATTAACCATAAATTCATACTAATTATTTAATAGAGCTTGATTTGATGGTCGTCTAATGCTTCTCTTTTTACTTTTGTATCTTTAAATGCAGTTGTCTCAGAATATACTGTTAGAAAATCTTCACTTTTGATTACCCGCTTTATAACTGTTACTATTAATGTTGCCTGATGTAATTACCTGTGATTTTGTTTGCTATATGAGAAGAAAAAAAATGATTTATAACTGTTATTTCACCTTTCTTTCCCTCAGGCAGTAAGGGTTCTCCAAGATGACATGGCCTGTGACATTATTAAAATTGGCACTTTAGTTCGAAACAGGGAAAGGTTCATTAAAAGGAGACAGCGGCTTTTAGGACCTAAGGGATCTACTCTGAAGGTATTTTACAGAACATTCATCTCTGCTCCAGAAATATTGTTTTCACAAGATTGTCTATTTAACGTATGATTCTTTTCAGGCCCTGGAGCTTCTCACAAACTGTTACATAATGGTTCAGGGAAATACAGTATCTGTTCTTGGACCCTTTAATGGCCTTAAAGAGGTAATCTAAAAAAAAAGCTTATATTTTCACAAGTATTATTCTTGGTTTGATTGTATGTGAGTGATTCCATTGCTCTTTTAGGTAATGTGCTCATAGTGTAATCTGACAAAGGAAGTCCATATGGTTGTTAAACATCTTAGGAACCCCAGGGAAATGGAATATCTCTTTAGTCCATGGGTGTGCATGAAAGACAATAGATTTTCCAATTGTACTAAGTATAATTATGTTAAATCGTACTTACCAGTAAATTCCCATCATTCCCACCAGCTGTCATTTTACATTAAGTGAACTATAGAAGTGTCTGCTGTAGCTGCAGAAAAGAAAAGTGTATAGCTAAAATGATTGACACTAATCACATCCACGGTGTGGTCATTTGCCTAAAATGGCACTGTGCTGGTTGGTATCTAAGCAGCACACAGTTTGTTTATATCAGAAAGCAGAGATGACATTCAGAGGTATAACTGCAGGATCAGAAAAATTGAGCCTTCGTAGTTAGGATAGAGCAGCAATAATAGAATGGAATACAATAGTAGAACTGAGCATGGGTTTCACAGAAAAGTTAAATATTTTGCTGGTAGGCAAATGGCATTGTAACAGTTTTAGCAGAAAAGTACACTTATTTTTTTACTTTTTCCAACCCACTGAAACTGTTAAAAACAAGCCCAATTCCTACAGGTTATGGTGAGGCAGACATAGAAGGTTAGTTCACCTTTAAGAAAAAGTCTGCATAGCTCCATCCTGTCCGGTTGCTAGGTCGAGCCAGCCATTGGAAGCTCAGCCCCAGCATCACAAGAATGCGCATCGTACTTGTTAAAAGCCCCAGGCATGCTCTGCACTCTTTTCAGTTTTGGAGCCGCTGAGCTCTGCACAGAGCAATTCAAATCAATTCTTTTTTTCCCCTTTGGACAACTGTACATCCAGGACTGCTTGTTTTTTTTAGCAGAGATATAGCCGTTAATTATAGAGCCAGTTATTTTAAATTTTATATGGCTGTTTTAGGCTTGTTCACTATCATCATTGCATTGCATGGAAACAATTGTTTTTAGGTAGTAGGGCTTTGGGGACCAATGAGACGGTAAACACTTAGAAATCCCAGGGCATTCTGGATTCAAATATCAGCTTTCTGCTCAAAAATCAGAGCTCTGGCATGCTTCTTATCCCTCAACGTGACAACATCAAGACTTTAACCAATTCAGGGGTGTTCTTGTGAAGAACGGGAATGTTTGAGCTCTGACATTGCAGCTAGAAGTTAAAGTAGATCAATACTCACTTCCGATCTCACAATGTACTTTCACGGGGTTCACTGCCTGGCACCCAGCTTCTGGGTCCTGAAAGCCGGCTGCTCTCATTGGCTGGGTGGGGATGATATCATGTGCAGGAGTTCTGTCAAATTTTGGCATTTGTCCAAGAGGCCTGCGTGGCTCACTGTACACGGGAAGGTAGGTAGCTTTAATGCAGATGAGACAAAGCATGTCTCTTCTGCATTAAAAATGCTGCCTCTCCATCCATTTTAAATTTTTACCTAAAGTTCCACTTTAATATTCACATTCTAGGTTTGGGGATATCTAGAGTACATAATCTTATAGAGAGTAGAGTGTATGTGCAAGTGACTATATGTGCATATACTTAAAGTTTTTCTAAAGGCAGAAGTCATTAGGTAAGGTAAAGCTCTCCCCAAATACCTTAAGCCGATCTTGATCCAGCGCAGTGCCTGGGAGCAGTTCTCTCCTCATTGGACATGAAGGCATTAGCGGAAGCCATTGCCTTCTGCTGCTGTTAATCACAGCCAATAGACACACAGAGCCCAGTTTGGGATTTAACCAGAATGCTTCCCCCCCATAGCAAGTGGCTTGCTATGGGGCTAATCAGAAGGGAGGAACCAGGAGTGCCAGCAGGAAATCTGAGGAGAAGAGGATCATGGTTGCTTTGTGCAAGACCATTGCACAGAGTAGGTAAGTATGACATTTTGTTATTTAAAAAAAATACCTTTGAAATCACTTTAATAGCTGATATTGGTTTAAAAAGTTTTTTAACCACTTGCCCTCCAGAGGATTTACCCCCCCTTCCTGACCAGCCCATTTTTGTGTTAATGCGCTGCGTTTCTTTAACTGACAATTGTGTGGTCATGCAACGCTACACCCAGATGAAATTTACATCCTTTTTTCCCACAAATTGAGCTTTCTTTTGGTAGTATTTGATCACCTGTGCGGTTTTTTATTTTTTGTGCTATAAAAAAAAAAAAAAGACTGACAATTTTGAGAAAAAAAAATATTTCTGCCTTTTTGCTATTAAACAACATATCCAGTAACAAAATTTTAAAAATCAAATTTCGTCATAAATTTAAGCCAAAATGTATTTTGCTACATGCCTTTGCTGAAAAAAATCCCAATACGAGTAAATTAATTGGTTTAAATGAAAGCTATAGCGTTTACAAATGGCGGTGTATATATACACTGGGATTTCAATTTTTTTTTTTTTAACTTTACTAGTAATGGTTGCGATCAGCGACTTATAGTGGGACTGTGATGGGTATTCTGACACTGTGGGGAAACTGACTTTGTGTCACTGACATCCCCAGTGGCACCAATACAGTGAGAAGTGCTAATAAAAAGCACTGACACTACTAATGGTACTGGGAAGGAAGAGGTTAACATTTGGTGCGAGCGTCAGAGATGCACGGCAATCACCGGCCGGGACCCAGTGATTGACACCCTCAGCCGTGAATGGCAGTGCGGGTAGGGTGTGCGCGCCCCCTACAGGGAAATGAAAAATCACGTATATATACGTGATTTTGTGCACCCGTGCTGCCCTGTAGCAGTACGTCTGCTATAGGGTGGATGGGAAGCAGTTAACTAGAGCACAGTGGTGTTCTGATACTGGAATATCTCTTCACTCAGTGTCCATGCTATGCAAACAGCCTCATATGAGACATCCTAGCTTAAATAATATCCACCTTTCATTTTTCCAGTAGCATTATTTTTTTTTTTTTTTTTCTAACCCTACAGGTTCGAAAAGTTGTTCTGGACACCATGAAGAATATCCATCCTATATATAACATTAAGGTAAAAGGTAGTTTTGTATTTTCTTTTTGATAATATGTCCAGCTTTTTAAAAAGCTGTGGTATCGTGGTTGAAAGGAATTACCTATGTGTTTTTCCATGATTTTATGCTGTATCCTATAGGCTTTAATGATCAAACGCGAGTTGTCAAAAGACCCAGATCTGAGAACAAAAAGCTGGGACAGGTTTCTGCCAAAATTTAAACACAAAAATGTGAGCAAGAGGAAAGAACCGAAGAAAAAGAAAATCAAGAAAGAATATACACCATTTCCACCACCACAGCCAGATAGCAAGGTATAGTGCTTCTGCCAATGCGTAAATGTAAGAAAAATTTGTCAGAAAAAAGAGGGGCACTTTTTTTGTACTAATTATAATAAAGTTGTGTTATCTGTCATAGTCTAGGTCAAGAGTAGGCAATCTTTTAAACCTAATGTAGCAAAAAATGTCTATAGGTAAATTGAGATTGACAGATATGTTACAAAATGTCTACTTCACACTCTCAATGATAGAAATGAGGATTCAGTAAATAAATTGTAAAGCAAACCATAGTAATAAATTAACATCAAGGTTAAAAGTGTGAAGAAACCACAACATCTGTGTCAGTGACTGCGAAAACAACCCACAACATCTGTGCTAGTGATTGCAAGAGCAACGCACACAATTTGTGTCAGTGCAGCAAAATACCCAATGATGGTGGCCTTGCACAGTTTTGGAGACAATGGAGCCATGGCTGCACCGCCATGATGCCTTGATGCTTACCCATGGCTGAAGCTCAGAGTAGAAGGGGGAGGATGAAGAGGAAAATGGATGATCAGGCCAGGAGGAGATCCAGTATGATCAGACCAGCCACATACCTGATCATGGCGGAGGTGTGACAAATCCCAATTGCCCCTTGCGACAATAGTAGCTTTCTTTCATAAAGGATTGCTGGGCAGGACCCAAGTTGTCAAACTGATCGCTCAGTCCCTGTAGATTATGCAGGGAAAATTCACGGCTCTCCTCCTGTAAACACTGGACCTCTGTGCTGGATCCCAAAGGGTCCTGCATGCCATCAGATTGTGGTATGCATGTCAAGTGGCGTGCATGCCTGCAAGTGTTTGAACACTGGTCCATGGTCTCAGACTGCACTGGAACTTGCTTACAAGACTCCCATAAGTAGTGCCAGTTTAAGGACTGTGCTTTTCACATAACTACAATTCCATACCTATTTTTTGTTTTCTACATAGAGGTTGTTTTACAGAATTTATTTAACTACATTGGAATTGAGAAAATCCAGTGAAGTGTTCAAATTAAAACCACATGCAACACTAGTGACAAGATAGAGAAGCATGTAGCAGAAAAATAACTATCATTATAATGTAAGAAATGAGCTAATGACTTCTTCGTAGTCCCTTGAAAAATTGAGGAAATTGAGCCGATGGACATATGATGGTTAAATGTCTGAAAGAATGATGTACCAACTATTCTAACATGGTGGCATGTATGACTCTTCCGTAAGTTTTATATGTAAAACTGTTTAAAAACTATTTCCTGTTTTGGCTTTATAGATTGACAAAGAACTGGAAAGTGGAGCGTACTTCCTGAAAAAAAGTCAGAAGAGGAAAAAGAAACTGGAAGAAATAAAAGTAATGTTTTGTCTAATACTTTTAAAAACACATAAGTGTATGTCTGTGTATTGTATTTTAAAGAAAATCTCTGCTCAAAACCGATAATCCAGGTTTGCTTTCTTGCTGTCAACATAGTGATATACCAGTCAACTGCATTGCCTCAGAATACTTAGTCTAAAATGTGATCTTTATTTGTCACCCTCCAGACCAAACAAGCAGAAGCTGTGTCTAAACGGCAGGAAAAGAGAAACAAAGCGTTTATACCACCAGAGGAGAAACCAGCAATAGAGCCTCAGAAAGGTAATAGGAGCCACGGCGGCTGTACACCTAACATTATATGGTTGACAACATAGTGTAAACTGCTTTTCTTTAGTGTGTGTGTGTGTGTGTGTGTGTGTGTGTAGACCAGTGTTTCTCAACCTTTTTTAAGTCAAGGCTCCCTTTAATCATTTCAATACCGGGCATTTTACCCCCTTCCTGCCCAGGCCATTTTTCAGGTTTCAGCGCTCTCACACTTTAAATGACAATTGCGCGGTCATACAACATTGTACCCAAACTAACATTTTATCATTTTCTTCACACAGCTAGAGCTTTCTTTTGGTGGTATTTAATCACCACTGGGGTTTTTATTTTTTGCTAAATTAACAAAAAAAGACAGAACATTTTGAAAAAAAAAAAACGTTTTTCTTTGTTTCTGTTATAAAAGTTTGCAAATAAATAATTGTTCTTCATAAATTTAGGCCGCGTTATACTCTGCTACATGTCTTTGGTGAAAATAACCCAAATTAGGATGTATTTTTTAGTTTGTAGGAAAGTTATAGAGTTCACAAACTATGGTATGGATCTGAACATTGATCAATCCTGAAGTACTGACAGCCAATCTAATTTCTTGAGGTCCAAGAATGTCAGAATAGTACAGATATCCCCCAAATGACCCCTTTTTGCAAAGTAGACAGTCTGACGTACTTCATAAGAGGCATGGCGAGTTCTTTGAAGTTGTATTTGTTTTGTCATTTTTCGGAAAATGAAAAAATAAAAAAAAAATTTCACTATTTTTCTTTTTACATACTGTCACCAGTGCAGTACAGCGTCATCATATAACTGGCATGGCGGTGATCAGGGACACTGACTGGTGACAGTGTGAAAAAAAAATATATATATATTTTTTTTTTATTTTTTGTTTTTAATTTTTTATAAAAAAATTTTTTTTTTTTTTTTTAAGATTTCACTATGTCCAAAGTAGTACAGTGTTACCATAGTAACATTGTACTACTTTGGGGAAGTGATCAGTATTTTTTTTTTTTTTTACACACAATTTGCTTATAGCAAAGAATTACTTTGCTATAAGCAAGCATTTACCTGCATGAAATCGATTCATTCAGGTTTTTTTTTTTTTTTTTTTTTTTTTTGCTTAGCTGTGATTTGGCCACAGCTAATCACATGACGTGCATGTGATCGCTGTGACCATTCACAGCTAGACACTAGCATACAATGGATGGCATGAATTAAGCCATCCATTGTATACAACTGTCATGTGACCTGCTGTGATTGGTCACAGCAGGTCACATGGTACCGGCAACGGGGCCGATACTCAGATCTGTCATCGGCCGTATCCGAGGTACACGGCCGGTGACAGATCGCGCCGCTGCGCGGCTCTGCAAGCATGCGAACTGCGCATGTGTGGGAGTACGCCATATGGCGGCCTCCCGGAAAGCTAGTGGATTTTTCCAGATGCCATACGGCTATTGGCCGGGCGTCAAATGGTTAAAATTATGGACAGTCCCGAGGCACCCTTTAAAATTACGGACAATCTTGAGGCACCCCATTCTAAAATTCTAAAATGGGGTGCCTCCAGACTGTCCATAATTTTAAAAGGGCACCGCATTCTAAAATGTGAAAAACTATGTGACCCCAGCATTGATGGAGAAGGGCAGAGGAGGGTCAAACTAGGATGCTGTGCAGGCAGCTGACATCCTCCTTATCAAATGATGTCATTAGTTATCAGGATGCCGACACTAGAAGGTCGTAATGGAGCACAATGATAACCTGTGGCTTTGTGTAACTAAAAGGCAGGCTCGTTCCATTGCTGGCTTGTATACAAATTTTGGGCAATTTTTAGACATTTTGCCAAGGCCACCCCTGAAGAAACCTCAAGGCACTCCAGGGTGCCTGGGCACCCTGGTTACTGCAAGCTTTGGTGCTAGGATAATGAAATGACTGGAAAGATTGCAGCATGTTTCTAGGAGTCCCAGTAACAGCGACTGTAAAAAAGTGGAATACACTTCACAAGAAGTTTTTAACAACCATTCTTGTAAATATTTCTGGCATTTTCCATCCATTCACCTTGCATATATTTGTGATCGCAGAGCTAAAATTCTGATCGTATGGACTAATTCTTAGGACCCCTTCACACTGGTGGACATGCAGTGTGGACATGGACACAGCCTGCTATTCTCTATGGGGCGGTCAGATCTGTTTACATCTGACTGTCATCTGATCCACTAGACGGCTGTGGAATGGATCGCCATCCACCTGTTTTTAGTGGATGGGATGTCTGTTTACTTCCGCCTCCCCATAGAGAACAATGAAACAATGAAAATCAGACAGGCGGACCCGATCGGTCTGCCCGTCTGAAAGGGCCCTTAAGCTGGCTGTATTAATATTGTGCTGGTGAAGATTTGGATATTTTTCAGTGTAGTCATTGCAATCAGATTAAAATAGTTATCCAAAGAATGGGGAAATTCTTGCAATCGTTTAACAAAGTTTCTATTCGTGTGTACACTCGAACTGTTTGTTGACTGGCTTATTGATCATTTAGGATTGTATATAAAATTGAAAAAAGGTGGTTTTGTGTATGGTCATCTGAATCGTACTAACCAAAACACTGTCTGTTATATTTCCAGGGCCCACTTCCACCAAAATTGATGTGAATGCCATTAAAGAAAAAGTAAAGAAAGCAAAGGGAAAAAAAAAAGCTTGGTGCTCTTCCAGAAGCAGAAGTAAAACAAAAGTTGTTAACATCTGACAAGAAGAAAAAGAAAAAATGATAGATGTGCTTTTCTGATACTCTTCCTTAATAGAAAAGTTTTATCAGATTGTTTTGTTCTAAGAAGATAGCCCAATCCTCCAATGGCCTACTATAACATCATGTTAAATAGAGTACATATTTGAGAATATTGTACTTTCCTTTTCATAAACTGTGACCTTTCATCTAGCAAATGAGTATTTGGGGTAGCATTGATAACAGTTGCTGCTGGTTTAGTGCAATGACATTGTAAAAGTCTTTTCACCAGTTTTCTGTGCAAAATTATTCAAAATAGTTTCATCTGAAATCCATTTGTTTAACAGTAAACCCAAATATTAGTATAGGGAGTGAAGGTATTTTGAATGTCCCCTTTCTAACATAAATGCCTACTTTAAGGTTATGAAAGTGCAAACGTTGGGCATTAATATTAAGATAGAAAACCTCTAAAGGGTCTAGCAGGTGTCAATCGCTACTGTGTAGTATTTTAATGTGTGCTTTCTTCAAACCGCTTACAAAGTTTCTTTGTAGTTTTGCTGCATAGCACAACTTCAGCTTTACTTTTGGTGCCGTGCTGACATCAGCACTGTAGGTATGGCAGAATGGCTTACAGGAGGCAGGGATAGCTACAAAATACCTACAGTCCTGGGACAGGATAATCCCAAGCACAGGGCAACAATGCAGAACTGCGCCCCTTTCCTGCTGCTAATGCATGACGTAGAACGGGTGTACTGCCTTGCCCCCATCCTCTGCCACCTTGCTGTAGCTGCCCATGGTTGGCATGAAGTGTGCACTGTACATGTGTGGCCAGTCAGTTACTTTTTCCAACTAGAAGGTAGTTGTGCATGCACAGTGTGGTTTTGTGGGCAGACAGCAGATGTAGTAGCAGACATGTAGCTGTGACCCACTGGTTGCCAGCCACTCATCTGGAGCATGCAGTGAGGCTAGCTGTCCCTCTTGCCTAGCCCTGAATACCAGTGCTGGTGTTTTCTACTTGTGTTGCTGATGTCTGGCGCTGGGCCAGAAATACTGTGGTACTATCCAACAAAACAAAAATCTATTTTTTTTTTTTTTTTAATAGTTATTTGAAGAAAGCCGACATTTTTTACTGCACACCAGAACTAAACATCTACTAAGTCCTTCTAATCAATGAAACAATGGATGCCCAGAGTTTGGCTTTATTGTACCTTTCAGTGGTCCTGAAAGTCAGCCCTATCTGTCATAGCAAGCTATTTTATAGAAAACGTGAATTGAAAAATGGGTATTGAGCAAACCTACTCATCCTCCCGCAGCCCACAATGTAAAACAGTACTTCGTGCCTGAATTTGAACAGGTAGCTTCCGATAGATTGCAGTACCAAAAATAGTAGGATACAGCAGATACAAACACTGGCATTTTTGTCTGCTGTGGTCTACCATTTTTGTAATAAGGGATACTATTTTTGACCCTATGCAAATAAATATTTTCAGGAAAAAAATGTGACTGCATACCATCTTTGGGGGCTCGAATGGTGGATCATGGCTGTGGATAGTGACACTTGTCTCATGTTACATGCCCCCCTCCTCCATAGATAGGTTTACTTCAAGTGTTATGATATAATAACACCAAGTTATCCAGATAAGTATTACTTTTTCAAGAGGGTATATGCATAAATCGTTTAGCAAAGCTGGAAACAGTGAGACTAATGTCATTCTAAGCCTGCAGGTGGTGCTGTTTTCTAGAAAATGCATTTTTTCCCAACTAGCATTGCAGCTGTTTGTATCATTTTTGTAAATATATATTTTTACATATCAGTATTTATCTTTTGTGTGTGTGATAAATGAATGTCTTGATGCATACATTTTTTATTTTTTTTTTAAATGTATGCACACATTGTGTTCTGTCATGAAAATCTGACTGACAGGTGTGATGTGCTACAAAAGGTGGGTCTTTACACCCACTTTCGTCTTAGTAAGTCAGAGTTTAAAATATAAGATTAAGAATATGCTTTTTTTCGCCTGTCCAGGATTTATGAAAGATTGCTCACTTTCTGAAAATACTGGCACCTTGCCTGTCGTGCTTTTTCATTGTTTTTGTTCTATATTTCTTTATGTACACCTGTAACAAGCATGTAGATTAGGAGCTCCAAATTTGCATTAACTTTTTATGCTTGTTCCAGGTAAGAGAATATTATGGCTAAGTCACTAGTATTTTAACTTGTACAGTCCCTTAGGACCCTGGCTTCAACAGCCAATGCTGTTAAAGCCAGTGACTGTAAAAAAGGATGGAAAATTGGACCTTGCGGCAGTAGGCCTGGGTGATCTGGAGTGGTCCATGGGTTATCCACTAACATGTTCACAATTGCAGAGTACCAAGTTCTCCTGCGCCAGCCTGGGGCAATCAGAATTACTGGCATTCCTTCCACTCAAAGCAGCTGAGGTAGAAGCTGTAACCACAGGATGACACAGATTAGGGAGAACAGATGCCGTATGACACTAGAGCATTCCCCACTAAACACTCGATCTTTGGTCAGAGACAAATATGTCTGCCTTCGTACTGAACCTGGACAACAGAAGATTTACAGCCTGGGTTCCGCTGGCAATAGAGCTTCTCAAACACATGGCGTTCCACCCAAGACGGAATGAGATCCACTTCCTCCTGGATGCCTGACTTCTGGTGCCTTCTTGATGATTTATGTATGTCCCTGCCATGGTGTTGTCTGAGTGAATCTCCAGTATTTGTGAGAAATACCAGTCCAGAGACAGTCTCCTGCTGGGGAGTAACAGCCTTTGTACTGAACCTGGATGACAAAAGATTTACAGCCTGGGTCCCCCACTGTCAACAGAGCTTCTCCAATGCATTGTGGAGTTCTACCCAAGTTGGAATAAGATCCACTTCCTCCTGGGCTGCCTGACTTCTGGTGCCTTCTTGATTTATGTATGCCCTTGCCATGGTGTTATCTGATTGAATCTCCAGTATTTGTGAGAACTACCAGTCCAGAGACAGTCTCATGCTGAGGAGAAACCGCACCATGAAACCCAAATGATGTCCCATGCTACCAAGACATTTCGTTGGAGGGTGCCAGGAATGAAACGGCATACAACATAAACTGCCTTGAATGAGGTAACTATCTTTCCCAGAACCCTCATACAAGGTTGAAGCAAGGGATTTGCCAGTGGCTTGAGGTCTACCTCAGAGCAAGACATTTGACTAGAGCAGTGTTCCTCAACCTTTTTTCAGTCAATGCACTTTAAAATTATGGACAGTCCTCAGGCACCCTGTAAAATTAGGAACAGTCTTGAGACACCCCATTCTAAAATGGGTTGCCTCAAGACTATCCATAATTTTAAAAGGGCACCCAATTCTAAAATGTGAAAAACTATTCTAATAGTTTTATATAATGCAGCAACATCCACACATGTAGGACACCCAACATTAGAGATGTTTTATTTTTCCAAAGCAAATACACTTTTGCACATTGGTACTGAGTAGTATTCCAATGTTTCTCTTCTCCCTCAGTTTTTCTCCATCACTGAGCTAATGTGACCCCAGAACTGATGGAGAGGGGCAGGGGAGGGTCAAACTAGGATGCAGTGTAGGCAATGATATCCTCCTTATCAACTCATGATGTCATTGGTTGTCAGGACGCCGGCGGCTAGAAGGTCATAGTGGTGCACAATGAAAACCTGTGGCTTTGTGTGACTAAAAGGCAGGCTTGTTCCACCCGCTGGCTTGTATACAGGTTTCGGGCAATTTTTAGAAAATTTGCAAAGGCACCCTGGTTGAGAAATGGCTGGTCTGGAGGGTATCCAGACTCAGGCACAGATATTCTAAACTCTAGGCAGGGAGCAAGGCAGACTTGTGTAAATTCAGCACCCATTCAAACCGCTGCAGCGTGTGCACCATGTGAGACACATTGGTCTATAAAAGCAAAGTGGATTGCTGCTCAGAAGTAAATTGTCCAGGTACCCTATGACAAGGATACCCCAGGAATGTAAGAGCCGCAGAACTGGAGCCAGGACCTTGGTGAACACTCTGGGAACCATGGTCAGGCAAAATAGCAGGGCCACAAACGAAGTGCTGTTCCTCCAGTGCAAACTGCAGAAACCTTTGAAGAGCTGAAGAAATCAGAATGCGTTTCTAAGCATCCAAGGCAAACGGCACCACTCGACCACCTAAGCATCCATTCCACTGCAGGCACTCTGGGAGCCAACACAGGAGTCTGTGCCCACAATCTAGAAAACACCAATATACACAAGCATGTAATAGGCTTAAGCCTATTACAGTGAAATGGGTGAACGAGAGCAAGTCCCTGGATGAGGACACTTTGTATGCTGTTTGTGACCATATAAAGGTACCTATAAGTGCTCACGTCGGTGTGGGGCTTGTGTATATTGGTGTAAGCAAGCGTTTTTGATATTCACTTATGCCAGGAAATGTCTCTGCTGCAGAGAGAGGCCACCACTGCCTACACCAATTCCATCTGGAACTTTTGCACCTGTAAAAAAAATTGTTGAGTCTCTTGTAGTACAAGGTGGGACAAACATCCCTGTACAGTTTTGGAACCCTGAAGAGGTTTGGGTAGAAACAGCAAAACCTTTCACACTCTGGCACTAAAATAATCATTCCTTGAGATAAAGAGACCACAAGTAGGACCCATCTTTTGCATCATGTGAGCCTAGATCTTAAAGCATTGGCATACACCTACAGATGCAATTGTCAGCTATAAGGCTGCTCCCATCATAGCAAATGAGCCTTTAAATAAGGCCTTCAGATGTTTGTCTGAAGCATCTTTAAATACTGGTACCTCATCCACTGGACATAGGAGGTCCTTATTAGGATAAGACACTGCCCAGTCCACTGAAGACATACACCATTTCTTAGTGAACTTACTTTCCTTGGGCTATTGCTGAGCAAACCTTTTAAACAGAACAAACACCTTGTCAAGGTAAGCACAGTCTACATACAAAACCTTTAAATTAGAATGTACAGAAAAGGAACGAGTATGTTTTGGTAGACACCATGATCCAAATCCTGTAACTTTTG